GTTTCCTGTTCTTTTGGATACTATGAAAAAAATCCCTGCCTAGTTCAATGTCATGGAGTATTTCCCCTTTTTTCTTCTTGTGGTTTTACATTTTGGGTCTTACGTTTAAGTCTTTTTTTTTCCCCTTTTTCTTTGGGGTCGCTGTGATGGTTCCTCTGACCTTAAGGGTCTATAGGAAGAGAGAGAGCCACAGCATGCACTGACCCCTTTTACTGAGGAGAAGCTATTCAAATGAGGCAAGGGGTCACGTTCCTTTAAGTCTTTAATCCCTTTTAACTTGATGTTTGTATATGATGAAAGAGTTTCAGCTTATTCTTCTGCATATGGATGAACAATTTTCTCAGCAATATTTATTGAAAATACTAATCTTTTCTCTTTTTTTGTATTCTTGGCATGTTGAAAATCCCTTGGCTGTAAATGCATGGATTCATTTTTGGGTTCCCTCAAAATGAATAGCCCATTCCATTGGGCTATGCATCTGTTTTTATGCCCCATGCTGTTTTGGTTACTGTAGCTTTATAGCATATATTGAAGTCAGGTAATGTGAAGTCAGATAGTCAGTTTTATTCTTTTTTCTCAAGGTTGCTTTGGTTATTTGGGGTCTTTTGTGGGGTCTTTTTCTAAAAAAATTTTAGAATTTTTTTTCTATTTATGTGAAGAATGCCATTGGTATGTGTTGTAGCAATTGCATTAAATATGTAGATTACTTTGCATAATATGGACATTTTAACAATGTTGATTTCTCCAATCCTGAGTATGGGATGTATTTCCATTTATTTGTATCTTCTTCAATTTCTTTCATCTATGTTTTATAATTTTCAGTGAATATAGATCTTTTGCCTTCTTGGTTAAATTTATTCCTAAGTATTTTATTTTTTGTAGATATTATAACTGGTATTGTCTTCTTCCTGATTTCTATTGATTTTTGTATGCTGATTTTATATCCTGTGATTTTTCTTAATTTTTTCATTCGAACAGTTAAAAAACCCTAAGACTCCAGTTTTGTTTTTTTTTTTTACCTTTAAGATCATGTCATCTGTAAACAGGGATAATTTCACTTCTTCCTTTCCCATTTATCTGCCTTTCTTCTTAAAGAAAAGAAAGAAAGAAAGGAAATGGTTCTCACTGTGTTGCCCAGGCTGACATGAGCCTCCTACAGCAGGCTTCTGAGTAGCTGAGATTGTAGGTGTGTATCATTGCTCCTGGCTTTTGTATGCTTTCCCCCTTCATTTGCCTAGTTGTTTTCGCTAGGACTTCCAGTACTATGTTGAACAGAAGTGTAGAATGCTGGCATCCTTTTCTTTTTCAAGATCAGAAAAAGCTTTGAACTTTTCTTTGTTGAGTGTGATGTTAGCTGTGTAATGCCATATATGGCCTTTATTGTGTTGGGGTACATTTATTTCTCTTATACCTAATATATGGATGGTTTAATGTGTTAAATCTTGTCAAATGCTTTTTTTTTTTTTTGCATTTGTTGGAATGATCACATTGTGTTTGTCCTTCATTCTGTTAATGTGGGCTATCACATTTATTAATTTTTGTATGTAAAGTCATCCCTGTATGACTTAACATACACAACTCAGTTTGAGTAGAACTCATTTAGAGGAATTCTTCTCTAAATGTTTGGTATAATTTATTAGTGAAGCCACCAGGTCCTGGGCTTTTCTTTGTTGGGAGACTTTGTTACCAAGTCATTGTTGATCTGATCAGATTTTCTATTTCTTCTGAATTTATTCTTGATTCTTTTTATGTGTCGAGTAATCAGTCCATTTCTTCTAAGTTATGCAATTTATTGGTATAGAATTTCTCATAACGGTTTCTTAGGATCCTTTGAATTTTGTTTGTATCAGGTTTGATGTCTCCTTTTTTATTCTGATTTTATATATTTGAATGTTTTTCTCTTCTGTTTTTGATGTAGGCATTTTTTGCTGTAATCTTTCCTCTTATAACTGTTTTTGCTATATTCTATAGGTTTTGGTATGCTGTATTTCCACTTTCATTCTTCTCAAGAAAAACTTAAATTTCCCTTTTAATTTCTTCATTGATGCATTGGTTGTTTGGGAGTGTGTTGTTTAATTTCCATGTATTTATAAATTTTCTAAATTTCCTCCTATATGATTTCTAGTTTTATATCATAATCATAAGTAAAAGTGGTATGATTTTAATTTTCTTAAAGCCTCGTCTTGTGGTCTAAAATATGATCTGTCCTGGAGAATGTTCCATATGCAGTTGAGAAGAATATGAATGCTGCAGTTGTTGGAAGGTGTGTTCTGCATGTCTGCTGAATCCATTTGTTCCTGAGTGTAGTTAAAGTCCAGTATTTCCTTGTTGACTTTTTGTCTGGATGATCTGTTCATTGCTATAAATGTGGTTTGAAGAACTCTCTTTAGCATTTCTGATAAAGCAGGTCTGATGATTACATAGTCCCCTGGGTTTTGTTTGGAAAAATCTTTTTCTTTCCTTTATTTCTGAAGTATAGCTTTTCTATATCAAGTATTTTTGTTAGATGTTTACTTTTTCCTTCAATACTTTGAGTATATCATTCCATGCTATGCTAGATTGTCAGCCGAGAAATTCAGTGATATTTATATTAACATTCCTTTGTATATGATATCTCCTCATTAATCCCCCCATCCCATGTATTGTTGCTTATCTCTTGCTGCTTTCAGAATTTTCTCTTTGAGTTTGGATAGTTTGTGTATTTTATTTCTTGGTATACTTCATTTTGGGTTGAATTTGACTGGAAAACTCTGTCCTTCCTGTTCCTATATCTATCCCCACATTAGAGGTGTCGTCAATCATAATTTCTTCAAATATGCCTTCTTTTGCTTTTTTCTGGAGCTTTTCTCCTTTTATGTGAAGGTTTGGTCTCTTGATGATGTCTCATAATTCTTATAGTTTTTTTTTTGTTGTTGTTCCTTTTCACTCTTTTATCTTTTTGCTTCTCTGAATAATTTCAAATGTTCTATCTTCCATCTCACCGATTGTTCTGCTTAATAGATTCTGCTATTGAAGCTTTCTGTTGATTTTTTTTTTTTTTTTTAGTTCAGTGATTGTATTCTTCATTTTTAGGATTTCTGGTTTTTTTTTTCTTTTGGTGTGTGTGTGTGGCAGTATTCTTGCTTTTTTCATGTATTGTTTCCAAGTTTCATTAAATTTTCTATCTGTGTTTTCTTGTAGTTTAGTGGACTTTGTTTTTTAACAATTAATTTTTAAAATTTGTTCTAAATGAGGACTATTCTGAATTCTTTGTTGGTCATTCCATAGGTTTCCATTTATTTGAGTTCTATTATTGGAGCTTTATCAGTTTCTTTTGGAGGTGTCATTATTCCCTGATTTTTCATAATCCTCCTGTCCTTGCATGGTTGTTCACACATTTGACAAGACAGTCCTTCTTCTGACCTTTACACGTGCTCATTGGCAGGGATACAACTTTGCTGTTTACTCTAGTCTGTGATTTTGGATAGGTCCATCTGGTGATGACCCTAGGCATGTGGAGCTTGATATGAGTTCTTTAGTTGGCTCACCCCATGCTTTTGATTGGATATTGGATAGAACTACTAGCGGGCTCTGCTATCAGTTGGACTAATTGGCTGGGTATTGTTATTGTTTCTTGTTAGGCTGATCACAAAATGTATTCCTATGCTATTTGGGATCTACAGTTGGCAGGTGTGTTAGTTGTGCACTGAGGTTGGATAGAATTGCTGTTTTGAACAAGTGGGACCCAATACTATGTTCCTTAGAAATACATGATTGAACATAGCTCCCCTGTCTTGGAGGGGGTGGGAGCTGTGAGATGGGCTTTTGGCTGAGCTGAGTTGCTGTTGGACTTCCTGGATCAAGCAGGTCTAGCCCTTGTGTTTTTCCAAAAAGCACAGAGGTGGAAGTCTCCCTGACTGGGTAAAATTTTGGCTGAATTCTGCCACTGCTTCCCCCCTAGGCCAAGCTAGTATAGCTCCTTTCTTCTCTGAGATCAGTGGAGGTTGGAGTCTCCCTTCCTGGATGGGGTTATTGGATAGGCAGTTTGACTATGTGAACCAGCTATTTGCCCTCTTGGGTCAAGCCATTTTAGCCCCTTTGCTTCTTTGAAATCCATAAAGGTAGGAGATTCCCTGCTAGGGCAGTATTATCAGGGTGATTCTCAGGCTAGATGTGGAGACGAGCAGTCCAGGGGTTCAAGACAGATTATTTTTCTCAGTGTTCTTCTGAAGGTGACTAGCTTTATCTTGCAGGTTTGCCTTGAGGTTGGCCATTGTCTCTGATTGTGTGCTGTAGTTGGCAGGAACATAAATATGCCACCAGCAGTTGTGCACTCTTTGTTTCCACCCAATCCCTTGGGAGATAAAGCCATGGTATTTCTCCTCATTGAACTGAACTGGAATGGGTCCCCTGAGAAGCATCTGGGAATGCTAGGGAAACTGGATGACTGCTTCTGGTTCTTTTTCCTCCTGTAGAAGTTGTAAACCCAGGAAACTCCTCTCTATCTGTAGATATGCCCACATGGGAAAGAGGGAAAGGGTGGGACAATCACAGTGATACCGTTCCTCTTTCCTTTCTAATTTGATTTGTTCAGTTCTGTGTAACATAGGTGTCTCAGGCTTATTTCCAGGTGTTGGGGTTTTCTAGGCTATGGATCATTGTCTTCTGTAGGGAGGAAGGGGGCCCAAGACTTCTTACTCTGCCATCTTGCTGACACCCCATAAACTTTTAAAAGATTGCTGTCTTTCGATAAAGCTATTTATTATAAATATTTTCAGTTTCATACTATGTAAATATGGATGAGAATTACATAATTTTTTTGAAAATATTTGTGCACTAAAGATAGATTACATTAATAAAGTTTTAGTGTAATTTTTACAATATTGTTTGACTTTTTTATTAGATACTTAGTTGTGCTTCTTGTTTTATAGTATATAAATATCTAATATCTAAATATCTAATACATAATGCAATGTTTGTTGGTTTTGATTTTGTGTGTGTGTGTGTTTTTTTTTTTCCAGAGAGTGATAATGAACTCTCGAGTGGAACAGGTGATGTGTCTAAGGATTGTCCTGAGAAGATTCTGTACTCTTGGGGAGAATTGCTAGGAAGATGGTAAAAGTTTATTTTTCTTACTGAAAATTTTATATTTATATAGTTAATATTAACTTGTTAAAATAAATTTTGCTCTGTGTGGTGGCGAACACCTATAATCCCAGCAGCTCAGGAGGCTGAGATATGAGGATTTCAATTCAAACCTATCCTCAGCAATTTAGTGAGGCCCTAAGCAACTTACTGAGACCTTGTCTCAAAACAATAAAATGGCCTGGGGATGTGGCTTAGTGGTTAAGTGCCTCTGGGTTCAGCCCCTGGTATCAACACAAAGCAAAGAAATTTTAATATTAAATCTACCTTAATATTAATATCATAATGTACTTACTTTAAAAAACATAAAATTAAAATGTAACCCATACATATTCCTTATATTTGACTAGGTCATTCTCTAGTATGTTCTTATTTAACTTGCTTTCAGAAGACATTTGTCTTATTATTTCATTGAGATATAACATTGTTCCAGGTTGTCAATTTTTTTGCTACATTGCCAACACACATATATATATATATATATATATATATATATATATATATATATATATATATATATATAAAAGGTTACATTTTTGACATTGCCAAATCTATTATCACTTAAAAGGTAATATAGAGGTTAGAATTAATCATTTTATCATCAATTATATAGACTGTAACACAGTCTGTTTTATTCTTTCTGTCTTAAATTATTACTCATTTTGGTGTGGGGGGCTACCAGGGATTGAACTCAGGAGAACTCAACCTCTAAGCCACATCCCCAGCCCTATTTTGTATTTTATTTAGAGACAGAGTCTTACTGAGTTACTTAGTGCTTTGCTATTGCTGAGGCTGGCTTTGAACTCACAATCCTCCTGCCTCAGCCTCCAGAGCTACTCGGATTACAGGCATGTGCCACTGTGCCTGGCAAATTATTACTTTATTTTTTGGAATATTTTTCCTGGAATTATAAAAAAAGATACTCTATTTATGTTATTATGTAATAAATACTCTTGTAATTTTAAGACAGTTTTTTATGTAAGTTTTTAAAATTTATATATGACAGTAGAATGCATTATAATTCTTATTACATATATAGAGCCAATTTTTCATATCTCTGGTTGTGTACATAGTATATTCACACCAATTCGTATCTTCATACATGTACTTTGGATAGTAATGATCATCACATTTCACCATCATTAATTACCCCATGCTTCCTCTCTTCCCCTCCAATCCTTCTGCCCTATTTAGAGTTCGTGTAAGACAGTTTTTTTTTTTTGAAGATGACCAGAACTGTCATATCTCTGTCCTCCATATCAGTACAGACATAGAAACCTCAAGTTATTATTGAATCTGTACATCAGGTTAGATGTATGCAGGCTATCCAGGAGAGACTATAAAGTCTAGGCAGAATCACACATGTTTCGTATAGAAAAGTGGAATAAAGAATACTTAAACTTTCTTTTATCTTCTTTAGAGATGTTCCCTGTGATAGTCTTCTGTATACATCCTAAGAGATTCCTGAGTTAGGATTTAGGGAGTAATTATTTACAGTTCCCAGGGTTGGAAAGTTTATGATTTCTCATTGTGAAATCCAGATACAAGGTTTATTTATTCTGACCAAAGTGTTGGACCTATTATGTTTTCAAGGAAATACCCTGAGAGGAAGGGAGTGTCAGCTGCATCTTCTTTTTAAATGAAGAAAATTTCATTTTTGTTTATCCTATTCATGTAAATAAAAATGAACATATCAAATACGAGTATGAAGATGTGAATTTGGTGTCAACATACCTTATATCTAATAAGAGATATGTTAAATTATTGTATAATGGTGTATTAAGAATTGTACTGCAAAATAAAAAAATAAATGAAACATTAAAAAAATATAAAGCTGAAAAAAAGAACATATCTTAGACAATGTGTGTAACTCATTAACCAGTAAGATATTACAATTAATCAAAATGACTGTTTGATATAGAGTCATAAGATCTTTATTGGACAGTTCATTTGCACACTAACAGGAACATCTGCATAACTGTGGACAGAAACTATTTGCAATGCTATCAGTTTTCAATACATTACTCCTATCTGTTGAGAATTTAAACTATAGTCAGAGAGAAATTACTATTCTCCCCAAAACAAAATTAGACTATGCAAAGACTAACTAGCCTATCAAAGATAGAAGAATCCCAGCTGGAAAACCTAAAGGTGCTAGGCTTTTTAAAGAGGTTTTAATGCAGAGAACTGGTTTATATTGAGTTAGAAGTCTGAAAAAATGAAAAGGATATGTTGAAGTAACCAAGATAGAGGAAGCAGCTAAAACCTCTGGAACACGAAAAATAAATTAGAAGTGTTGTTACCAGAATCTAGGAACTCAAAAGGAATTTGAGGATCTGTGTGGGACCTCTGAAGAGGGGTGCACATCTGGTTGCTTAGACTCCTGAGGATACTCAGAGCAGCTAAAGTTTGGAAGGAACTGTTAGGAGAGGACATTTGGTTAGTTCTTCACTTTTGAAGTGACATCCCAACTCTGAACTAGAGGAGGGCACTATATGATTGATGGTTGTGCTTCTTCGAGGATGTTAATTGGTATTAGTATTTCTTAGCAATTGTGATATAGTTCATACTTGGAATGCATTCCCTTATTCCTATTTTATACTTTCCAACTGCACCTGGCTGTTTCTTATTGGCAGAAGTTAACCTGGAAACCATCTTGGCAGTTGAGTCTGGGATATATAGTTTGCAGATTCTCAGGCCTTGCATCATTGAATAAAAATATACGAAGGTGAACTTGTAGTTGAGAAGCAGTAGGTTAGGGTTGAAAATAGCTTATTGTAATTCTCACTCATGCATGTATATGGGCTAATTAAATTGGATATTGACTTTTTTTTTTTTTTTTTTGGTACTGGGGATTGAGCTCAGGAGTACTGAATCATGAGCCACATCCCTAGCCCTATTTTGTATTTTATTTAGAGATAGGGTGTCACTGAGTTGCTCAGTGCCTCCTTTTGCTGAAGCAGGCTTTAAACTTGTGATCCTCCTGCCTCAGCCTCCTGAGCTGCTGGGATTACATGCATGTGCCCCACTGCACCCAGCTAATTGGACAGTCTTAAAACCCATGCTCTTAAAGTAGGGACTGATGAATTAGGGGTATTGAAGAATCAAGAAGAAATAGCACCAACAGCTTACTCTATTAATCTCCTTCATCTTTTTATTTTTTAAGTTTATTTTTCAAGTTTATGGACCTTTATTTTATTTATTTGTTTTTATGTGATGCTGAGAATTGAACCCAGTGCCTCACACATGCTAGGCAAGTGCGCTACCACTGAGCCATAACCTTGGTCCAAATCTCCTTCATCTTTTATCTGAAGGTATACTACAAAACAAACAAACAAACAAGAAAATCCTGGAACTAATAAGTGAATTTTTTAAGGTCAGTACGAGAACACCAGTCTTATTTCTGTATACCAACAATGGAAAATCAGAAATGAAAATTTAAAGATGTATGAATACACCAGAGGAAAACATGAAATACTTACATAGAAATCTAGCAAACTGTGTGCTAGGTATGTATTTTAAAACACTGGAAAACATTAATGAAAGAAATCAAAGAAGACTTAACTAAAAGGAGAATTATATATATTCATGGAATGAAAGACTCACTATTAATATATCAGTTGTTTCCAAACTAATCTACATTCTAATTGAAATTTCAGAATTTTTTTATATTGACCAAGCTGATTGTAAAATTTATATAGAAGGACAAATTAACTAGAGGAGCTAAAAATTGTTTGAAAACGAAGAACAAAGTTGGAGGACACACTGCCAGATTTTAGGGATTGCTGCAACGTTATAGTAATTAAGAAAGTATTGATGAAAGGATAGACACATAGCTTGGTGACATAGAGAATTCAGGAATAGAGCCATACAACCTAAACAGTCATTTTCCAAAGAATATACTAATGGCCAACTAGGACATCAAAAGAGTCTCAAGGGTCTGGGGTTGTAGCTCAGTGGTAGAGTGCTTGTTGAGAATGTATGAGGCACTGGGTTTCATCCTCAGTACCACATAAAAATAAATAAATAAAGGTATTGGTCCATCTAAAAATTTTTTAAAAAGAGTCTCAAAGTAATTAGTCATCAAAGAAATGAAAATCATTTCATGAAATGAAAACAATGTAATTGATATATTTTGAGGAAAAGCTGATAGAATTAGTTTATGCTTCCTGTGTGGCTTGAGAAAAAGAACTAACCAGTAATATGCAAAATTTTGCCTTGAACTTCAAGAAGATGTGCCACTTACTCAAATATGAAAGACAAGAGAGGAGAAAGTAAAGATTTTGGAGAGGCTGAAATACCTTTTAAACATCCAAGTGAATGTGTCCATTAGTCAATTTAATGTAAGATTGAATTCAAGAGAAAGATATGGAAGGAAATATGAGCTTGGGAGCCATTACTGCTTGCATATACTTTTAAAAGGTATTAGAGAAGAAGGTGTGAGATTTCTTAGTGAGTATAGATAGCAAAGTCATATAGGGACTGAACCCTTGACCGCCCCAGTGTTGGGAAGTTGGAAAGATGTCAAAGATCATGCAGAAAGCAGGTCAGTGAGATAGGAGGACCAAAATAGAAACCAGGTGAACTAAGTTGATTAAGGAAGTAGTAATTAAGTGATGATAGTTCAGTTTACATGAAGCCATAGAATTCCACTGGATTCAGCACTTTGGATGTCACTGGTGTCTTTGGTAAGAACAGCTTCAATAGAGAGTGAAAGTCCAGTTGTGCCAAAGAGGAAGAGGAATCTGTAGATATAGATAGCTCTTGAGTAGTTTTGCTATAAAGTGATAGTAAAAATTGGGAACACCTTAGGAATCAGATGCGGGTTTAGAAGTCATTAAAAATTGACATGGGCAGTATAACATGTTTGCATGTTAGAAATGGTCTAGGAGAGAGAAAAGTTGATGATGTCAGAGGAAGATGACAGTTGCAAGAATAGTTGATAAACAGGGAAGAAGAGGGTGAATTTGTTGACTAATAGAACCGTTATACCCAGGAGCACAGATAGGTGATTGCAACAGGAGGAAAGGTGAGACATGGCTATAAAATCACTGAGTAAAATACTTACGATGTGTCAGGTACTATTTTAAGCACTTTACATGAGTTATTTCATTTAGTCATCACAATAGCACTCTAAAGTAGATATTATTATTATCTATATTTTAGAGGTGAGAAAACCAAGGCAAACCTATATTAGATATTGAATATGAAAATGCATAATAACAGGAAATATCAGGAAATGGATAACTTAATCAGTCATTGTGTACAGTTGGGTAGGTATGTAGCTGGATCAATTTTTATAGGCACATTAGAAGTACTAGTGAGAGAGTCAGTAGACTAGGAAACGGATACCCTTGCCCAACCAATACTTAAAACTTCTAGTCATAATTTTAAAGAGATCATGAGGATGATAGTTTCATAAACAGTAAACACAAAATTGAGATATAATTGTTACATGCTTCTATAAACATTGCAAACCTACATGTCAACAAATGTGAACAAAACCCAATAAATCCTCAAGTGCCAACCACCCAACTTCCGTAGTTATCAAAAGAGAGATAATATGAAAAAGGTTTTGAAACTAAGATTGCTCCTGATTATTTTTTTAGTGAGGTAATTTTGAGATAGGAGGAAAACTGGTTTACAGAGAAGCTAGTTGGGAGGGAGTCACATGATTGATAGGTCTATGTCAAACTCATTGGCCTTTAGAAAACTTGCTGTATCTTTTCCATTTGAAATGTTTTTCCATTTATTTGAGTCATTATTGCAGTTGTGTCATGACAATGGATATGAAAAATGTAAAACTTGCCTAACCTAGAAAAATTTATGTCTGTTAAACAAAGATTAGTAATTTAAAAAATTGCTCTCAGAATTTCTCTTTAAAACATTAGTATTCATTAGATTTAGAAATATTCAAAGTCTCAGCAATAAAAGGTGGCATTTATATGAAGATAGTTTTGTAATTTGTTAAGGTAAAGCACTTGTGCAGGGGCCTACACATTGTGCTTTGAGGAAATTTTCTTTTAAGTGGAGAGACAGCCTGTATTCTCAGTGATCTTTTAAATGAAATGTAGCTGAAAATATTTTGAATTTATTCTAAAACAACTAAATGAGTATATTAAAATAAAGCAAAACTGTTATAGATAAAAATTAGAATTCGTGTATTTAAAGATACTCCGAAAGCTACAAAGGAAAATATTTAATACTAATTTTAAATCACCAGAAAAAATAAGGATAATATAGAAAACTTAAGAACAGATCATATAATAGTAATGGGTGGCTTTATAAAAGATTGGAGTTTCGGTATAGTGAAGAAAGAGGGAGAACATTTGTCAGGGGAGATCTTACAAAAATCATCTACTGTAACATTTCTTAAGTTATGTATATAAATTCTGCACATCCAAGTCTTCTCATTGGATTGTGGTGACAATTGCTGAGGTTATGACATTTTGGAAAGCAACCAGGTTTTGGGAGAAGCATGTAAGTTCAGACTATGACATGCTGGTATTAAGGTGCTTTGAATCTTCTGGAGCTCAGAATCCCCGTGCAGAAGTGATAATGTGAGAGCGAAAGTGTTAGATCACTGGGGGCAGAGTGGAGAAGGAGCTGGGGACACCTAAGAGACATGGAGGATTTCATGGATTTCATGATGGGCATAAGGAAGGAGTGCTTTGTCACTGAGGCCAAGGTCACTAGTAAGAGTGGTCAACAGTGAATGGACTGAACATGTCCCCTGAATTTAGTGGCATGGAGGGAGGTCTAGATTACTTTAGTGAAAACTTTTCAAAGAGAAAAAGAGAGAAGCCACATTAAACTGAGTTTGGGGAGAAGAAATAGAAATGAATGAGTATATAACTCTTTTGAGAGATTCCATGTTGAAGGGTAGGAAACAACATGAGATTTATGTGGAATTGAATGAAGATTTCTTGTACCTAGAGGTATTAATTGGAGTTTCAGTGTAGATTCAGTGATGACTTGTTGAACTACATACATCATGTAGCAAATGTTTTATTTAATTATATTGAATCCTTATATGATAATTCAAATCATTTTGCCTTTCAATTTAGAGAAAATGAGCTTATCCCTTTGTGTATTGTTGCTTTAATTAATTCAATTTTCTGTACCTCGAGCATAGAAATTCAGTGTCCATCACACCATATGTTTTTCTTATCCAAAATATGATTAGAGCCAAACTTTAAGTTCCAAAAGATCATTTCATCACTGATCCTGGTGCTCTTGTGACATAAGATTCTTTGGTCATCTCAAATTTAATTGAATAATAAAGAAAAGTCAGGTGGAAGAAAGTTCTAGGTGTCAAATGGTTTTCTCAGCTTTAACTCTTGAAAAGAGTAATTAACACTCTTCTACTTAACATATTTTGTCAATTAGATTTAATTATCATGTTTTTACAAATTATCTGAAGTAATATTTTAATTTAAATCCATAAGAGAAATCTAAAGAATTCAAATCATTATTGTTTTTTGATGATGAAATTATTTAAGGTCATTGCACATACTTCAGGCGCCATAGGAATATAAAAGGGACTCTTTCCTCTTTTAATTCTGTTACAGATCTCCAAAATATCTTTTTGGAGTATACTGTTCCATATTCTTTTCCTGTGCATGTTTAAAAGCAGGTTTCAAAATACTGTATTTAAAATCATTCCTCTGTACTATTTTGAGACCTGTTTTTGTCACTTAGTGTAGTTATGTTCTTTAATAATGTTAAATCATGTAAGCCCTGCCTCTTTTTACTTTGAGTTGATTTAAGGCCATCTGTATTATCAGCTTGGGTTCTCTGACCCAACAATACAAAAGTTTAGCTAGCTGAAAGCAGAATGGGTATAAATCTGATGATTTATTTAAATACTGATGTGACAAGTTTATTTGAATTCGTTGAAGTTATGGAAATGAGTATAGGTTTTGCCAAGATATGCAGATCATGGCGGTGTGAGGAAAAAAAAAATTAACATATTGTGTCAGAGATAGGGCATGCCAAAACTGGGGTCTGTGCTAGAGATGAAAGAGTGTGCATAATCTAGAAAAGTAGGTGGGACACCAATTTTGGAAAGCAGACATACAGATTCCATGACTTTCAGGCTTAAATCTTGAAACCAGAGCCTGGAGTAGGCCAAACCAGAATACATCATCAAGTTTGGAGTCCAGATAGTGTAACCAGAGTCAACTCTAAGAGATAAGTAAAATCTGAGCAAAAAAGCATAGAACGTAGCTCTAGATTCAAGCTAGGCACCCGGAAAAAGATGAGTAGTAGAATTACATGAGACTGGGAACTATAATTCAGTTTCTTGTCAGGTTATCATAGTATCATACCTATATGTGTTCATGGATTTTAGGCCAAGAAACATTCACCTTGTTCTGATTTTAAACACCCTTGAGAATGGGTTATGCTCATAAGTGTGTGTTGTTCTTGTGGCAAGGTGGACTTGTATAGGTTCTGGTGCCTATAGGGAAGGGTAAGGTCCATCCTTTATGGAGCACTTGTAATTAAAATAAGGCAACAAGACAAATTCCGAAGTGCAAATAATGAACTATTCTTATCAAGAAGTTCATTTTAGATAATTTTTAATCTGAAAGATCCTTCACATGCTGAAACAGAGTTCCGAGAGAGGTAACCAAGACATAGACTTCCCAGGGGAATATGGGTCAGAATGTAGGTGTCACAGGAAACTAAACTATGTATATTTCATGCCTTCTATACTGTGGAGCATACTTTTCGCGCCTGGTCCAGTGGACCTGACCTCAGAGAAAAGAGTGTAGTCAGCATGTGGTAGGCCTGTGATCCACTTGATAGCCTACTAGCCATCCTACCAAACTATTTATCTCAGGGGATTCAAATATTTGTCTTTATGCCTTGAAATGCTGCTAAGAAATATGTAACTAACATTCATTATTCTGAATAAGTTCATGGGGTGATTTAAAAAGTACATGAGAAGAAGAAAAAGCTTTCCCTTAAGGTAGGATAACATGGCTTACCAGGAACTAAGATAGACTAGACAAAAACAAAAACAAAAGTCAAAAGACATCATAGAGCTTGAACACTACTCTTGTTTCATGCCTGGTCATTTTTCTCTTGACCCAGGCTCATGCTCCCCACCCCACTTTTGTGTTACTAAGAATTGAACACCTCAGGAGTGCTGTACCACTGAGCTGTGTGCCCAGCCCTTTTCTTTTGTTTTGAGACAGCTTCATTAAGTTGCTGAGGCTGGCCTTGAGCTTGTTATCCTCCTGCATTAAGTCACTGGGATTACAGGTGTGTTCCACCATGCCCAAGTCCAGGCTCTAATTTTAATATAAACTAGTAAATGCCCTTTCCATAGCAACGGCAGTTCAGGAATGGTAAAGGGAATATGAATGGTTTATTTTCTTTCTTCAGGCACAATAACCTTGGTGCACGACCAAAAGGGCTACTCACTTTGGTGAAGAGTGGTGTTCCTGAAGCATTGAGGGCAGAAGTATGGCAGCTGTTAGCGGGCTGCCATGACAACCAGGCAATGCTGGACAAATACCGAATTCTTATCACAAAGGTAGGACACTCTTTTCATATTATTTTCATGGAGCATCTTAAGTTAATTCTGTTTTTCATAGCTCCCACAAGTCATAATGCTTTGAACTTCTGTAAAAGTAGTTATTTTGGTGTTGTGCACTTAATACTTCTGACTTTTGTTTTGAATACTTGTTGAATAGTGGTAAGTGATGTTCATATCATCTATGAGCAATTTATGCCTAGGTTTCATTTTTTTCATTCAAGTGACTTTATGATTTTTTTTATTTTACATGTTTTTTTTGATGGACCTTTATTTTATTCATTTATTTATATGTGGTACTGAGAATTGAACCCAGTGCCTCACACGTGTGAGGCAGGTGTTTTACCATTGAGTCACAACCCCAGCCCGACTTTATAAATTTTATTTACCAAATTGAATATACGATTGGCTCTTGGTATCCTGGGTTTTGCATCAGCAGATTCAATGAACTGTGGATCCAAAATATTTGGGGGGAGGGGAAAGCTTGTGTCTCTACTGAACACTTAAGCTCTCCCCCCCTAAACAATACAGACTAATCAGTACTTACATAGTATTTACATTATATTAGGGAATATAAGCACTCTATGGATGGTTTAAAATATACAGCCGGATTTACATAGGCTGTATGTAGATGCAATTCCATTTTACATAAGAGATTTGAACATAATTGGATTTCCCAGGACCATCCTGACTTCAGATGAGCTAGCTACAAATATGAGGGTTCCCATAGACTCCCTGAGGTTTGATAATTTGTAGCAATGACTCAGAACTCAGCAAAGAGCTCTACTCATGATAGTTTTATTTTTTAATAGCAAAACAGTGCAAATCAGAATTAGCCAACCAAGTCTATTGCCCTTTTAAAGAACTTTCCCCTAAGTCCGAACCATGATTCTACTTATGTCCTTTGACCAGAATTCTGTAATAATAAGAAAGAGTAGATATTTGGAGGACAACTGCCATTCTCTGCTTTAGGTTGCTTATTAATAGTATTTGAGATTTGTCTTAGAATAATTTGTTTTTAAAATACATGTACATCTTAGTTTATATTCAGAATGGCGAATGTTACTAGTTGCCATTTGAGATTGACTAGCATTCTGTAATTAAGATTGTAATATAAATTTTCCACATTCAATTATAAATATATGACAACATAAACTTATGTTATTTCTATTGTTAACAGTACAATTTATTAAAAACAATTTTCCTTCAGACATTATAGAAATGTGTTACTCTGATCATGTGCCTATATTCAAGCTCTCAAGTCATAACGTTTCTGACAGGACGTACAATGGAATACTTAATTTCATTCTCTTCCTTATATCATAGCCAGAGATAATAATAAGATGAATACTGTCATTATTTCTAAAAATGATTTTCTTACTTTTCTATGTTTAGGAGTAGAAATGAGACAGCAAGTGCTTGTAGCCAAGAGTGTATTTGTGTATTTTGGGGCTTACCACCCCTCAGTGGGAAGAGAACAAGCAAGCAGAGGATTTTCAGTAAGAAGTGCTTGCATATTTGGCACTTATTGGTCATGGTTCAGCAGCTGTTAGTCTCTTCTTTTGCTCCAGTTAATTTTTTCTATCTATTAATGGAATGGCAAGATTTCAAGGTCAGTTAATGAAATGTTCCAGCTTGAAGAAACAGTGTTGCTTCATAAAAACCTTACTAGAGGCTCCAGGTTGCAAGGAAAGAAGGAATACAAAGTGTTTATGGAAAAGCTACTTTATGACTTAGCTTCTATGAAAAAGTCATCTCTCTATAGTAGGAGTACTCTAGATGAGAAGCAGAGGCCACAGATTACCTTCTGAAACACTCATCCAAGGGGAGTGAACATGTAGCCTTCAGGCTGGGTCTAGCCTGAAGAGTTGTTTTGTGTAGCTATCAGAACATCCAAGAATGATATCCATCTCTGGCTCAATTTGACTTTCTTTTGCTGGCACGATGAATCACTGAGCAATAATTACATTTTCATGTATTCTGTGGCATTTGATATGGGGAGGTTATGTATATTTTAGGGCAACTTGAATTTCATCTAGTGTAACAGAATTATATATGTAGTTTCAGTAATTATATGACATGTGTGATATAATTTATCAAATCTTGTGGTTAGTACTTATAGCAAATATTAGGTTATAGCCTTTTGCTCTTTTGTAGAAGTGAATTTGTAACATTCATACTTAGTACTTTATTAGAATCCAAACAAACCTTTAACTGAAAAACTTTCAGAAATAACAAAATTACCATAATTTTCTTCCTACCCCTTGAATTTTTTTCCCCCCTGAATCTTTTCTTCGAGAAGTCTGTACCTTTTCATTTTAAAGCATTTGAGCTTTGTTGTTTGAAAGACCTCTCCCAAGTATTGAGTATTGGAATCAGTGTGTATTTCTACTTTAAAATGTAGAAACTTCCAGTCACTGTTAGACCAGGATGCAAGAAAAGACCACTGACTCCAATTAAAATCAAATTAAAGCAAGCTTATTATTTCCTCCGGCTGGGCTTCGTCTCCCAACAAAAACCGCGGGAACAAGACAGCCTTGCATTTTTCTTGCAGCCCAGCTTTATAGCCCAGAAAGTTACACAAAGAGGGGTTACATGAAGAGTATAACACAAAGGCTAGTTTACATTTTTGCTGGCCCCGACATCAGAATTTATGAAGGTCATTAGAGCCTCAGAGAGGGTCATTATCTGGCCAGGGAAGGCCAAGATTTATGAGTCATCACTAAAGTTTCAGAGAGGGCTGCTATCTGGTCAGAGAGACCCAGGCATGGGTGAGTTCAAGGCACAGGCAGGCATTCCCAGCAAGTGTTCAGAATTTGCAGTAATTTATAGTAAAGCCAAAATTATCTTCTCATGGCTTTGTGGTGAGATGGCTCCCAATTTTAAGAGAAAATCAGGCTGGATCTATCATCATCTGACTTTCATAAGGACACATGAAGTGAATAACACCTGATGAAAATCAATTATGAATGTTCAGATTTGTCTGCACCCTCCTGCCCCCAGTGAATATCCTGGAATATTTGAATCCCAAAACTTGACTTTGTAGTGATTATATGAGTTATTATTTTGGTGATTATGCAAATTCATATATCATAAAGTAAAATGATATCTTCTAAAAAATATTCTTAAAGGTTGTCTGATATAATCAAGACCACAAGGTAAGTATTAATCTCATTCACTTATTAATTCATTCAATAACTTCTTTATTATTAACAACATTTTTTTCTTTTTTAAAAATTTTAATTTGTTATATATGACAACAGAATACATTACAATTCATATTACACCTATAGAGCACAATTTTTCACATCTCTGATTGTACACAAAGTAGAGTCACATCCTTTGTGTCTTCATACATGTACTTAAGGAAATGAATACCATCACATTCCATATCCCCTCTCCTTTCCACTCCCCCCCTTTTCCTCTTTGCTCTATCTAAAGTTCATTTAATCCTCCCATTTACCTTCCCTGAAGCATATTATGAATCAGCAGCTTAAATCAGAAAAATCACTTGACATTTGGTTTTTTGGGATTGGCTAATTTCACTTAGCATTATATTCTCCAGCTCCATCCATTTACCTACAAATGCCATGATTTTATTCTCTTTTAATGCTGAGAAATATTCCATTGTGCATGTATATCACATTTTCTTTATCCATTCATCTACGGAAGAGCATCTAGGTTGGTTGCACAGTTTAGCTATTGTGAATTGTGCTGCTATAAACATTGATGTGGCTGTGTCCATGAAGTATGCTGTTTGTAAGTCCTTTGGGTATAGACCGAGGAGTAGGATTGCTGGGTCAAATGATGGTTCAATTCCAAGTTTTCCAAGGATTCTCTATACTACTTTCCATATTGGCTGCACCAATTTGTAGTCCCACCAGCAATGTATGAGTGTGCCTTTTCCCACACATCCTCGCCAACACTTACTATTGTTTGTTCTTAATAGCTGCCATTCTGACTGGAGTGAGATGAAATCTTAGAGTAGTTTTGATTTGCATTTCTCTAATTGCTAGAGATGTTGAACATTTTTTTCATATATTTGTTGATTGATTGTATATCTTCTGAGAAGTTCCTTGGCCCATTGATTGATTATTACATGTGGATTTCCAGTTTTCCCAGCACCATTTGTTGAAGAGGCTATCTTTTCTCCCATATATGTTTTTGGATAGACTCTGTGTCCTCTGTTCTGTACCATTGGTCTACCAGTCTATTTTGTGTCAATACCATGCTGTTTTTGTTACTATTGCCCTGTAGTATAGTTTCAGGTCTAGTATAGTAATGCCACCTGCTTCACTCTTCTTGCTATGGATTGCTTTAGCTACTCTGGGTCGCTTATTTTTCCAGATGAATTTCATGACTGCTTTTTCTATTTCTGTGAGGAATGCCATTGGGATTTTGATTGGAATTGCATTAAATCTATATATTGCTTTTGGTAGTATGGTCATTTTGACAGTATTAATTCTGCCTACCCAAGAACAAAGTATATCTTTCCATCTTCTAAGGTCTTCTTTAATTTCTTTCTTTAGTGTTCTGTAGTTTTTATTGTAGTGGTCTTTCACCTGTTTCATTACGTTGATTCCCAAGTATTTTATTTTTTTTGATGCTATGGTAAATGGGTAGTTTTCCTTATTTCCCTTTCAAAGGATTTGTCACTTATATACATAAATGCATTTGATTTATGGGTGTTGGTTTTGTATTCTGCTACTTTGCTGAAGTTTTCTAGAAGTTCTAGAAGTTTTATGGTTGAATTTTTTTGAGTCTTCTAGGTATAGAATCATATCATTGACAAATAGTGCTAATTTGAGTTGTTCTTTATCCGTATTTCTTTAATTTCTTTCGTCTAATTGCTCTGGCCAGTGTTTCAATAACTGTGTTAAATGCAAGTGGTGAAAGATGGCATCCCTGCCTTGTTCCAGTTTTTAGAGGGAATGCTTTCAATTTTTCTCCATTTAGAATGATGTTGGCCTGGTGCTTAGCATAGGTAGCTTTTACGATGT